TATTCCTGATAATCTTCGTGATTATTCAATGATTGATCTATGATCTGCGTACCGCCCCATGTGGTTAGTGATAACTCTGAGATTAGATATATTACATATATATATATATACCATATATATATATATATACAAAATGTTGAGACTGAGGAAGGTGTAAATGTATTGATTTCATGTATAAAAGACGCAGCCAAAATAATGGAAAGAAAAAAAACGGCAAGAAAGTATGTAAATGATTGGTATGATCAAGATTGTGACGAAGCCAGAACATTATCATTTAAAAGTTTGAAAATAGCAAAAAAATCAAATATAGTACAAGACTTGATAACATATAAAACGGCAAACAACTATTTCAAAGAGCTATGTAAAGCGAAGAAGAAAACTTACAGTAATAATATGGCATTTGGTATTACATTAGCAAGAGGCAGTAAAGATTTTTGGACAGAAATAAGGAAAATAAATGGTGCAAATCATGTTAAAAGTGTGAAACTAGACGCTGATTTACTAGCAAAACATTTTCAAAAACTACTTAACTGTAAAATACATGAATATAATTTCAGCTATGCTTTGCCGTACGTAAAAATTGAAGAACTAGATAAAAAAATAACAATAGAGGAAGTGCAAGATGCGCTTAACTGCTGTAAACAAAACAAAGCTCCCGGCGTTGATCGTGTGCCAGCAGAATTTTTTAAGTATGCTACACCCTCGCTGACACAAAAACTAACGCAAGTCTTCGCTCACATATTCGAAAACACGTCAGCGCCAAAAGAATTTAAATCATCAATTATTTTTCCACTTTTTAAGAAAGGAGATAAAAATCAGGCAAGTAATTATAGAGGGATATCTTTTCTAAACACAATTGCGAAAATATTCTCTACAGTAATAGCTAATAGATTACAGAAGTGGGTAGATGAACATGGCCTAATCAGTGAATATCAAATGGGTTTCAGAAAAAAATACTCAACTATAGATAATATTTTTATATTGACAAATATAGCAAGAACGTATATAAAGAATGAAAAGAAGCTATATGTTTTTTACGTGGATTTCCAAGCAGCGTTTGACACCATAAATAGAAACTCATTGTTTTATAAACTAAGTAATATTGGTTTGTCAACGAAGATAATTCAGATGATTCGAAGCCTCTATTGGGAAAGTAATGCTGCGGTCTGGGATGGCAATAAATTATCAGAATGGTTTAGAACAAATATGGGAGTAAAACAGGGGTGCGTTTTGAGTCCTTTGCTGTTTGCACTGTTTCTAGACGACTTGACAAAAATTTTACCAGGTGGTATAGAATTTGGTGGAGTGGGCTTAAAAATCTTAATGTATGCAGATGATATCGTATTAATATCGGAAACTCCAAGGATGTTACAATTAATGATTAATAAATTGAATGAATATTGTAAAATGTGGAGTTTAAAAATAAATATTAATAAGTCGAAAATCATGATATTCAGGAAATACGCAAGAAAACTAAGAGCTGAAGAAAAATGGCGGTTGGAGGAAGAATACATAGAGGTGGTTAACCAATTTAAGTATCTAGGGATATGGATAACTTATAATACATGTTTCGGTAAACACATCTTAGAGAAATTAAAAGAAGGTAAATTGGCAGTAAACAGTACTTGGCGTAAAATCTTAGGGAACAAAGAAGTCTGTCCAGCGGTGAAACATAAAGTTTTCGAGACGGCAGTTAGAACTATAGTAACATATGGGGCAGAAGTGTGGGGTGTGGAGAGATATGAAGAACTGGAAAAATTACAAAGGAACTACATCAAACGCGCATTTCATTTACCAATAAACACACCGAACTATATGTTACATTTGGAAACTGGATTACCGTCGTTACATATAAACACACTGAGACAACATTTCAAATATATAAACCGAATACTAGTTTTAAAGGATAGTCGTCTGACAAAAATAGTAACTCAAAAATTATTAAGCAATAAAACCTTATTTTTCA